AGGCCAACTGCGGGACGAAGTTCAGGCAATATCGCTTTTTCTTGTGTTTTCAGTCCGCAGTCTTCGCCTGCAGTAGTACAGTGGGTAAGGGTTTCTCATATGACCCACTCAACAGGATAGGAACGCCCTGTACGTAATTCCGTGGCGCTCATCCTAACCCTACAGTTAGTACTTACTACTAAACCTCAAGGATAAACATAAACGCATCCCTGCATTTGAGTCTACCTCTAATCGTATACCTAACGCTTACTCCCCCGAACTTTAGCACAAATCCACCACTGTTGTGGGCAGTTATTGGCCTCATATCCTGTTTAAGAGGGCCATATAAGCCAGCCTTACCGCATATTAAGCTGTGTCAAGCTAGGTACTGTCCAACCCTATCCTTTTCATGCCTTCTCTTACAATAATGATAAAAGAGATGTATTTTATGGGTGGAACTTAAGTCCCGACTACAGGGCGAAAAACAACAGCGGGACTGGCTGAAAAATCCTCGGGAAATAAATTGTTTTCTTCGACGATCGACCTTTCTTTTGTACGTTCCTAGAATACTTTCTTCAGCAAAGGTAGCTTAAGTAGTGTACCTCATAAACCTCCTAGTCCCAGCATCTTGTCCTGTGGAAACGGTGGTTATACGGTTTTAGGAGGTGGGGAAATAGGATAGGCAGGGAATTAAATTTTTAGAAGTATAAAGTGAAAAAATTTAGCCGAGTTTGTTTCCCGCGGCCGCTGTGAGTAAGTTGTTCCGCGTGTAAATTGAAAGTATGCGCGGCGCATCCCGCCGCGGTCTATACTAATCTAACTCCAGAACGGTTAGTTGGACCTAAGGTAAGTTGAAGTAGACGGCCTCCTAAGCACCATTTCTATCTTTTCGGGAATTTCAAACAATCTGCAATTTGATAATCGGGTTTTTCTGCAATACATTAGACGATAATACAGATTAGGAAAACCCCCAGATATAAATCAGCAACATTTCTAAATACAATAAGTAAAGATGCATATAGCAGTTATGTAAGTATATTCCACTGCCCATCCTAATTCCCCATCAATAAAACCCTACAACCACCGTTTTCTTAGGACAAAATGCTGGGACTAGGGATTAATGAGGTACACTACATAAACTACTGCTGCCCTTTCTTCTTCTTCTTCTTCTTCTTCTTCTTCTTTTCG